TTACTAAATATTTTAAATAACAATTATGTACATTATGGCCATCATTTTATATTTGTTCTTTCAGTGCTGTCATCTACCAAAAAGCAGTGAGCATTTTATTGTTTTGCCTCTCATTTTCCTTCCTTCCTTCCCCTGCCTCCTTTCTGCGAAATACCCCACCCAAACCCAGGAGCTGGTGTTTAGGCAATACATACGTAATACCAGCCAAATAACATAAATTTCTCAAACTACTTCCTTGCTTCAGTCTCAAGAGCCATCTAAAACTGCACCAGAGATCACCGGTCAAGTTTAAAAGCCACCATAGCAGAGGTTTAGAAATATGATTGGTGTTTTTATATTTTAGGGTTGTCTAGACATAGAGGCCAACATCTCAGTGTCCACCCCAGAAGTTCCCCACTGGAATCTTCACCAGCTTAATGCCAATCTTATTAGCCAGCTGAGCTCTATGGCTGAGCCAACCCCTGCCCCTCCACAAGCATTCCTCAGCTAGGCAAACCCATTTTTCCATTAGTGCAATATTTATTTAGCATAAGGGATTAGCATCAGTTCAAAGGGTTTCAGCAAATTCAAAACCATCAGGGAATTGTTACAACTGAATGACTGCATTAAAACCTCCAGTTGTTCCGATTAACAATGAATTCAGCCTGCAGTTCTAAGCAGTCCAAGTGCGTCTTTCATTGGTATGGGTGGGCTTTTGCAGTTTATGCCTTCTTAATTCTGAGTGGATGGCTTCTGCCCAAAGAAGAACAGCATGGAACAGTTAGGCCAAGGGAGCCAACTTTTGGTTTGCTTTTACATTTTTCAAATACTGCTTGAACACTTATTGTTAGAATATGGTTTCCCCAAACATTAAACCTGATTTTTATGCTTACTGTCTCAACAGATTTAACATGTGATGTGAATGCAAGGGCAGTAGCACGGTGGTAGAGCACATGCAGAGAGTCCAAGGCCCAAGGTATTGCCGGGTAGGACGACTTGGAGAGACTCATTTGAAACCCTGGAGAGCTACTGCCAATCATTGCAATGAGTTAGATGGACCAATGATCTGACTATGTCCCTCTGTTTCTCTTTTCCTGGCCTGAGTCACCTCAGCTAAGTCACACAACTGTCTCCTGTCTTAGAGCAAATTTTAACATAACAGCACTCACAGGGATTATCCAACTGTATTCTTCTGTTACCTCACCTATCAAAAAATGTCAAGCCCTGGGCCCCTGCTTACCAGCTTTGTGCCATCATATGGCGATGGGAGGGAGCAAAGAGGGCAATTCCTTCTTGGGTGCAGCTATGGCATGTTCACACAGAGGCTGCCATGCTCCTCTGCCCCAGGAACCAGTAAGTTGGGCTTTCTGACTGCTGTGGGAGGGAGCAAGCAGATCTGTAGGGGAATTTTCTTCCTTCCATTTGCTTCTAGGGCACAAATTATAGACCCCCATGTGTCTTGGGAAATACCCCATTGTTGACTTATCCACCCACTCTTCCTAAGTTCTAGGGTTTGTTCCCTTGCCAAGATCAGAGGTGAGCCACCAAGCTGACAGGTCTACGAAGCAATTTTAAACATAGTGCAATATTGTTATTATGTATTTATTTATATCTCACCTTTTCCCTTCGACAGGGCTCTGCAACGCAAGGTTTTTGCCATTGGCACAGCAATGCTGTCAGTTTGTTGACCGATTGCATGGTCTAATTTTACTGTCACAATTCTGTTCTTGGCTGATAAGGCAATGGGCCAGATTCATATCAGGAGACAGCAGGGGTGGGAAACCCACTCCCAAAAGGACAGTTCCCCTAAGGCCCACCTCTGGAGCTGGCATGGTTGCCTCACATCCAGGTCATCAGACTGGTCCATGGTATTGGTCTGGACTGTGGTCATTCCTATATACCTGCCATTCCCATCAGCATTAACCTAGCAAGTGAACTGGATGGCTGCATCAGCCAACAGTGGTGTTTTCCTTCCCCTATGCCCTGCCACACTTTGTGAGCTGTAACCAATAAAGATGTATGGCCTTCTGACTTGACCTCAGCCTATGTAAACCTCTAGCTACCAGACACCTACTTTCCAGCCCTGACACTCCACAGCACAACAGTGCCGTAGTTGTTACAACCCCTTCCAAAAATGTGCGGCTCAATCCTAATTTTCTCAGAAATAAGTCTCTCAATTCAGTGAGACTCACTAGAAGGTGTTATTTAGGATTGCAGAATAAAAGTACTATCAAGCACAGCAAACTCTTTATATAGTTAAAAGGTTGTGACAAATTAGATGGATGAAAGCCTCTCGCATGAGCTGGCTCTCTCAGCACTCAGAAATAGCAAACAGTGATGCATTGCTGAGACTAATGCTTTTGCCTGGCACCGGTGTATAACCAGACAGCTGTGCCAGTAGAGCAGCCTTAGGGCTCCTGGGGAGAAGCGTCACCCTGTAATCTGGATAAATGATGGCGCTTATCTCAACTCCTTCAGATTACCGCTCTGTGTTTAAAGAAGAGTTAAGGATTTATTAAGGAAATCCAAATGAGCTCTAACAAGATTCCTCCCAACGCATGCCTCAGGGAAGCTTTCTAATGGCACAGAAAGTGAAAATTGTGAATAGACATTGGCAGGGGTAGCTATCCCATATTTCATGGCATTTTACTATGATCGCATCAGCCTTCTCCTTTAGTTCTTCCATTAGTTCCCTGATGTTAATAATCTAGTTGTTTTTAACTCTGACTATAGCTTCTCCCACATCTCCCTTTAACTGTGATCATAATCTGGTCCCATATCCCCCTTTAAACTCCTCACTCCTTTTGCAACAAATTTATCTGCTGTTGGTTGCCTTTGTCTTCCATCTCTGTGCTTTCTGTCACGCCTGGAATGATTTCCTGTTTACTTATCAAGCCATCTCCCCCTCCTCCTTCCTCAATATCCAGTTGCTTATTAGCCCAACCCAACCAAGCAACCCAAGTCTCACCTGATGCTGAAGAGTCAGATTCTGTGGCTTTAGCCAACATTCCTAGACTGTGGTACCCAACTCTCCTCTCCCATTCTACCAGCCAAACTGACTGCTCCCTCATTCTTGACTCACCTGCTTAATATAGGCTCTAAGGCTGTCCTAGAGTTATAGATAATGTCACACCTGCATATTGCTGGTACCATATAAAACATTAAAGAAAGAAGCTCAGCATCAGCAATTCTAGTACCAGGCACAGCCCCTAGAATATTATCCTTCTCATAAAAAAACAAAACAAAACAAAACCGTTCATGTTCAGAAAAAGCAATGTTAGAGCCCTCATGGACTTCTACCACATCAAAATGCACATGGGAGAATCAGATTTTTAAAAATAATTCTCAATCTTAAAATCTAGGAAAAGGCTAATCTAAAACATTTTTTCTCTAAGATGCTAGTTTTCTATCAACAGGGAGTTTTACGCAGGAGAAGCACTAAAGCAAATCACTAACTTGCATGCTAAAATTATATTCTGATGAGGGTGGTACCACATAATTTGTATGAACATGTACATCTCCCCTTAATAAGTCAAATGTAATTAACATGCATCTCATGCATAGCCTTAAGAAAACAGGATGACTTCACTTGATGCCCTCTAGATCATTCAGATAAATTAAATGGTGGGTGCTTAAGGAGCATTACAGAACAGATCTTGTTTACGTGTAATTCGTAAGTACTTTGAAATCAGGCAACAGCCAACATACAAAAGCAAAAGCAAATAGAAGGTATGATTCTATAACAGCACAACTATTCTCCACCAAGACAAAACAGGGTTTCCTAGTATTGCTAAGGCTTGCACTTCACAGCAGAAAGAACAGTAAAGTCCTCCAATAAATACTTGAAGTGAGCTGAAGTGAGCATGACCTGTTTGATTTTATGACTGGCTGAACAAGGAACAGTGGAAAGCAGGCAAAGACGATAAATTAATTTGCTTGTTTGGAGGCCCCTTCCCCCCAACCCCAACCCCCAAATTACCCTTAGGGCTCCCCAATGGCTATTTTTAACTTTGATTACAGGACGCTATTACAGCTGCCACCAAAAAGCAGAGAAAGCAGTGTTCAGCAGTAATCAGCTCAATATAGTCACTGCATCAGTCCTCTCAGATGGAAGTAGAGAATCCACACAGCAGATAATGTTTTATTTAACCACACTCTAATAGACTTGGATCACTTTTCAGTATTAGCTATTTAATCACTTAAGAATGTGAAACGCTGCAATTTGTCCCACCAGCTCTTTAGCTTAGTCACAGTGGTCCACAATCCTGCTTACCCTGGTTGCTATGGCTATTGTTCCACTGCCCTATGGGGCAAGGGCAATAGGAGCCCCACTTCTCTATCCAGCTTGCAGTTGGGGACAAGGAAGGAACTGAGTTGCCCTAACATTTGGACAGTCCAACACAGCCACACTGAATGTTCTAGTACTCCCCTTTCATACCATCCCATGCCAAAACAAGTCTATACTTTGTCCTTGTCCGAGAGGGAAAGGCTAGAGATGGCAGTGTGGGCACCCAGTTGTAGAGGCACTCTGGGAGACTCAGCACCGAAACAAACCACAGCTGGGGGAGAGGAGAAAGGAATTGTCTCTGACCTCACACAGAGATGCAACATGAGATCAGGAATGAAAAATCCTAACCCAATGCCTGTCTGCTCCGAAGTCAGACCCACTGAGTTCCATGATAAGTGTGCATAGGCTTGCTTCCAAGACTGAAATTTCTGTGCACACTTATCTGGGAGTAAACTCCACTGAAAACAGTGAAATTTACTTCAGAGTAGGCATGTATAAGATTGTGCTGAAGGAAGCGCAACAACCTGGAAATCACAAATTTTGGCCTGACTAGCAAGGCCAACCAAAGGTTTTGAACCCCCACATAATGAGTTCCATGTTCACAAACAACTGCCCTAGCGCTGCTGATCTCATGCAATTGCCTGAGACACCACTCTGTACACAGGTACACAGATAATAATGGGGTTTACAGCAGCAAACTTCAGTGCATGGGCCCACACAACAGTGTACTTACATCAATGAGATCAGACAGGTCATGGATGTAATACTTGAACACAGACGCATTGGTGGCCTCCAGAGCCAGCAGATACTCATTTCTTGCCTTAATCGCCTTCAGTTTATTTTCTGTGTATTTTGCCTGGCGCTGAAAATAAACCAAAAGGAGTTTATTAGAAAGAAAAACAACGAAGAGAAGAAAAAGAAGTGTGGGTCTCACGCAAAGAACACATAGCATTCTTCGATTCTCAGCATTCCTCACTGCTGGACCTGAGCTCTGTGAAATCTTCAATACTTTTAGACAAAATAAAAGCATCCTCTAAGTAGTATGTAAACCGCATACTTCTTTGGTGATGCAGGGACACAAAGGCCAATTGGCACCCCATGGGAACATCACTGCATAGGATTATTTGGTCTAGTCCCACAACTCTACTTGCAGTTCTCTGTGTTGAACACACTATGGAGTGTTACTTGGCTTTGGCACCAAGGAACTATGCGAGACACTGAAGGCCTGAAGCTTCCAGATTCCCTGGAATGATGTCAACATTTCCCTGACAAAGCAAACGAAAGCCATCCATTTATTGATTTCTCCATTATTTGGCTCTGTCTCCTTAATACCCCTATAGATACTGCATTTTGCAGCCACCCAGCAGTTTAATCCCATCATGCTGCTCACCTTTTCTTTCATTTTCTCAATCTTCTTGACTGAGCTTCGCCGGACATGTTTTTCTTCAAACTTGACACTGGAGGCTGAATCAGGGGAGCGTGGGGTTTGCTTATCCTCTTGCTTCACAGACTTGCCAATCTGCTTCTCTTCCTGCTTCTCTGCCTCTTTCAGCTTGCTCTGAGCACTGATGCTGTCGGCATTGTACATGTGGTAGGTCTTCATCACCTGCAAGAAACAATTGTCCAGCAGTTGAGCACAGGCATTATACCTGCCCTGAAGCGAAAGGCATGATTTTCACTCACCCCAGTCAACATACCAAGGCTTCTACTTTACATTTTTAAATATTTCAATTCTGCTGTGCTAATCCACAAATATACTGTTTTATATGATTTGTGGAATTGCACGGATCTCCAAGGGGTAGTATTCGGAAAGGTTTCAGAACATTCTAAATGTGTTTAGCTTATGTAAAGTGATACAGTGGTACCTTGGGTTACAAACACTTCAGGTTACAGACTCCACTAACCTAGAAGTAGTACCTCGGGTTAAGAACTTTGCCTCAGGATGAGAACAGAAATCATGCAGCAGCGGCGGGAGGTCCCATTAGCTAAAGTGGTACCTCAGCTTAAGAACGGTTTCAGGTTAAGAACGGACCTCCAGAACAAATTATGTTTGTAACCAGAGATACCACTGTACAGCACATTATAAAAGGACAGAGAAAATAGCAAGGAAGAACAAGAGATGTGTGTTAGCATATTTCTATTTCCAGTTGGAATATCACAATGCAATGAACATTGCAATTAATAATATAAAAGCATCTATTTGGAATTAGGAAAATAACAGTCTTTAAATGTGATTCAATGGTTCTATATTTCTCCAGGATATACGTTGTTTTTTATTAAGGAAGTATGAACAACTGCCAGGGGAAACACCAAAAGTGGACCAAAAGTGACTTGTTCCTTTCCTTGCTTGCAATGCTTCCAGGTGGCCACATGCTAAATATAAGTGAGCTTTAGCAGTGTGCTTCACATGCATATGAGCATGCTTGGAGGCGAAGTATGATAAAGTTGGAGAATCTTTGACCAGGGCTTCAACCTTAGACCTCTATTAAACACAGACACTCCCCTATCCACCTCAGCATCTCCTTAGCCCAGCTTTCTCCTCAACCACTTTTCTAAAACGTGATGAACATATAACTTCTGCTTTTTACTGGGGCAAGGGAAGGAGGAAGACATAGGCCAGTGGCAAATGCATTATGGTTTAGTTATTGAAAGTCTTTTTTCCCTTGCCTTTCCACATATTCTGTTCATGGTGGCTTGCCATAATGAAGTTGGAAAACAGATTGTTATTTTAAAAGTTTATGAGGTCTCCAAATGTTGTCATGCTCCCCCATCCCCAAAGTGTCTTAGATATTCAATACTAACTGGATTGTAAACACGCTCAGCAGTGAGCAGATATCTGTTCCAGCTTTGAAATCCTGACACAAGCCAAACTCCCGCCTCAAGTCCTTTCAGTTTTTTGGCACAAAGCTATTGACTTTTGTTTCACCTCAGTTTGAACCTGGCTATATTTTTTGTTAAATCGAATACGCTCCCACTCCCTCTCCTTCTCTATGTGTCTCTCCTCCTGTAGCAATTAAGCAATGCTTCTTGGTTACAGAAAGAAGCCGCAGTTAAAAATGCAAGCCCGGTCAGTGTTAAAGTGATGTGCTGAATAATTTACATGCCAACGTGGAGCTATCATATATGAAAAGATGAAAGGAGGCAGCTAGAATAATAGCTTTAAACAGGGCAGAGAATAAGTCTCTCCTGCCTCCTTCCATTGAGGGAAAGAGACCCAGCCCAGAAACTGGTTATCTCCATGCCTGGAACTGAAATAATAGTTGGCTTCTAATTATGTTAGTATCATGGTCAAGGATCATATCAACTACATGAAGACCCAGGACAGAAACACGGCTGCTGTAAACACCACACAAACAGAGGATGTTACAGGCCACCCTTTTCTTCACCACTCTCAACACCACCTGGGGTCACCCTTGGAAGAGGAAACTGATGTGGGCCTCTTGAGACTTACGCCATATTGCTGTAAAGCTGAGTGTAGGCAGATTAGAATCACAGCCCCTTCTCTCAGACTAGCAATTGCCAAATTCTCAGGCTGCAGAGGCAGCAGAAGCATCACATTTCTGATAACTCCATGCTTTGTTTAAAAACACACATTTGTTGCTAAACTAGAGATAAAGGAGGAAACTTGAGTTTTATGTTGTAAATCCAGCTCCCAAATGCAGGAAACAGATGGTGCGTCATGCTTTTCCTGTACATTGGGCCTTGAGCACATGCATTGTGGTGGCAATTGATTCTGAGGAAGATGCTGTGTCTTCTACTATAGCTACTATCACTAATCATGGGATGAAGGAATTCTGTGACATCTTAAGGGATTAATGAATAATCAGATCAATAGAATGACTAAGAGGTTTAACGTGCAACCCCAAAAAACACTGTAACTGTATGTACAATTTCAGTTGCCCGGTAGATTGCTCTGTCAGACAGAGATGCTCCTGAAGTGGAAAAGATTTTCTAATTGTAAGCATCACTGGAGTGAATTTCTTTTTTAAAAAAATAAAAATATTTCCATCACTTTAACAGACTATTAGTCAGCACAAGCTTTACATTTAAAACAAATTCTCTCTCTCTTTCTCTGCCTGAAAGAACTGGAAAGTACTCTCACAAGTGTTCAAAATTCCAATGGGTAAAAGCCATTATTTTACCCAGGGATACATGAAGTCCCTGCCCCTCCTTCCGCCTGCAAATGATTCATCTCCCTTTTGAGATCATGTTCTTATTTCCCAATCTGTAATAGCTGACAAAGCTTTTTATGTAGCCATGGTGCATTGTTCTTTCACAGTTAGGCATCTAGATTTCTAGTACCCATTTCAATGGGTGAGTGGGTGGGAGCAGCAACTGCTAAAAACAAAACGACAGCACCTCAATAACAGGATGAATGAACACTGGTTTTCAAATGGCTGAGTCATGTTCCACAAGTGAGCCACAACCAGCTAAGATGGGCTGTACTAGTACCACCTCCACCATTTGAGGCCCCCTGCACTTTGCTATTGATCATTATGAAAGAAATTGGATTGCACTGGAAAAATTATGCATGGCGTAGGTTAAGAAATCTAAAATGACTGCCTGTCAGTACATGCCTATGTACGCAAAATTGACTGGACTAATAGATGCGATGTGGGCTGAGTTGAATAAGGCAGAAAAGCAGTAAGAAGGGAGAGAGGGATGGAAGGTGGAGTCTGTGATTAAGACTGAGGCAACGGGAAGGTCTTTGGCCTGGAAAGATCAAATGCTACTGGCTTGGAAGCCAGGTTTATATCTATCTGGTATTGGTCAGATTTTAGAAACCTTTCTTTACTGGCACCTCATCAGTTTGCTACTAGCAACAACTCTTCACTTTCTCTTTTTGCCATTTGAAATTCAGTAAATGTGCATTCCCTCAAATTATGCCATAATTATAGAATTTTAAGAATGGGATCATGGGTCAACAAAAATTATGGGCCTACTACAGCAGCAAGAACTCTTCTAGCAAAGTATAGGAAGACACAAGAACTACCCACTCTGGAAGAATGGCAGACGAAGGTGATTGACTATATGGGACTGGCAGAGATGACCAGGGGAAAGAGACAGTGACCAGGGGAAAGAGACAGTGGAAGAAGACTGGAAGAAATTTAAAATATATCTTAAAAACTGTTGTAAAATTGAGGAGTGTTAAGATGTTAAGGAATTAAGAAACAGAGAATTGCAGCTGTAATCAATAAGTTAAAAAAAAAGGGAATTTAATGAAAGTGAATTAAAATAAATGGTTAATTGGAGGAGTTGCTGAAGAAATGTAAAACAAGGATGCAGAAAAGGAGAGGTATGGGGAAGTCCGGGAAGTAAGGTGCATGAAAATAAGATTATGAAATTATACATGTTTATATGTTTGTATGTTTTGTTTTGTGTATTGTTTGTTTTTATTATGTGTTTGGAAAATTAATAAAAATTTATTAAAAAAAAATTATGGGCCTTGACTTTATGGAGTAGATCGGGGTACTCAACCTTTTTATATCTACCGCTCACTAATGCATCTTCCTTGATGGTAAAATTTCCTTACCACCCACTAGTGCTTGATGGAAGAAGGATTCAACTTGTGCCGTAAAACCCCCTACAGCCCACCTAGAATCCTGAAATGCTCACTAGTGGGCGGTAAGGACCAGGTTGACAACCCCTGGAGTAGATACTCAATTTTAAATATTTTTTAAGGCTCAGTAATGGAAGTCATAGTCAGAGCAAATGCCCATGCCCTGCTTCTAAAACAGTTACAACAAAATATCCTTGGTCGAAGAAGAAAGAAACTGAAAAGTGAAGCAAACAGTAGAAACAACAGCATGCCCCTAAAATGTGTTGCATTACGGTTTGTTTCTGCTATTTGTCATAACCCGATATTTAGATGCTGGAGAGAAGCATGCAAGATCAGCATAATGAGCAATTATTTTATCTGGAACACAGCTCTCCCGATCTTCACATTATTGTTTGCTCTGAACTTGAAAGAATGTTAGAAGTGAATTGCAGTAATGTATAGGAAGTTCAAGTGTGTGTGTGTGGGGTGTGTGTGTGTGTGTGTGTGTGTGTGTGTATCAGTACATTGTGGTTTCTCCAGACAAGAGCATATGATAGGGGGAGTCAATACAGTGCCTTCCAGATATTGTAGAACACCAGTTCCCAGCTCCCCCAACTAGCATGGCCAAAGGCCAGGGACAATGAAGGACACAGTGCAATAACATCTGGAGGCAACCACACTGGTTATCTCAGGCACAAAGTAATGTTTTGAAGCGATTCTACACACATTTCCTGGTACATTGGGTCCTCCAAAACATTGTCTTGTCTCCACTAAAGTATTCCACTAGTATCCAGTTAAAATTAAAATTAGCTGGTTGTAGATGTTCGCTGTGATGCACGAATGTCATGTATGAAAGACAGGAGAAAATTAAATGATGCAGCTCAGCAGTATTCTTTCAAGAGAACTATGGCCTGGTGATACACCACCACACAATTTAGTGCTATTTTCCTTTCTCAGTATAGTTCTGTCCAGAAAGTATGCAAGTCCCTGTAATTCTCACTTAAAATAATGCTAAATACGCAACAGCTAGGGTGGCCAAGTTAAACACTTGGCAGTCACTATCCACATTTTTAAAACAGTTATCCTAAGCTCCTCACAATCACACCACACTGCTGCTTAGTAATCACAATGACCTAATGACATTGTTGCAAATCAGCACAAACTTTTTCCTATAGGAATATGCTTGTGGATTTAGCAAGGCTAACTATTCCCATTTTCCAGGAAGCGAGCTAAAAACCGCAAGCAGGACGCACCCTCCAGTCTCCTGCAGAGTGCTGCTGTTATGTCGCCACACCAGCCCAGTGCTCAAAATGCTAAACATCTGCAGCTGGAATTTAGCTAAGTACTAAAAATTCCATTGCACCACACCAGGCAGTAAAGGTCCTGAAATGCAGCTTTAAAAAGGCATTTCCAAACATTTGGCCACAATAAAACATAACCTCTATTCCTCTGTAATTTGCTGATTCACATTGGTTCTGCAAAATCATTCTGGATCTAAACTTAGTGTTTAATAACCCCCGCTCTGTGTTAGGGTCAAAGTGCTTTGGGTAAAAAGAGCATTCCTAAAGCATCTTCTCACAGATTGTGTGGAGAAAAGACTTTGGCACTGCAGCAACCCTTGTTGACTAGGTAGAATCCAAGAGCACCCCCTCTTTTGAGCAGCAACCCCAAAGAAAACATTTGCACGACTGTTTCCAAAAATAGAGGCAATTTGGTCACAGTTGCTGTGTAGACAGATTTAATCAACGCCGAACATATCCCATTCAGCTGTGCAAGAAGAAATGAATTGCATGGGAGACTTCTATTAACACTTTCTTCTTTCTCTCCAGGCAATGACTCTTCCTTGTTCCTCTTACTAAGCTATACTGCTGAGCAGAAAGGCATTAAAACAGAAAGCTGGTTGCGTAACAGCTAAGCATACAAACTGTGAGCCTGAAGATCCTGGCTCAAATGTTGCCGCAGCTCATCGGCAGGCCTCAAACCAGAGAGAGGGAGAGAGGGAGAGAGAGAGAGAGAGAGAGTTTTTTGCCTAAGTCCCAGGGAATGGCCAGAAGACATGGAAAGCCACCACCTTCCTGCAGCCAAGCAGATCCAGATCTAGTTAGTGTCTGGATGACATGCGTATGCTGCCTTAGTCTGCATGTTGGAACAAAAGCAGGATATTAACGTAAGGAAATAAACAATTCAGGGATGCACAGACTTCTGGCTTGCAACGTCTATGTTTTGTTTACTAGAACCCTGAGAGGCACCAATCAGAGCCAGATACAAAATAGTAGGTGGGGCAGGGGATTTTGCTCTTAGAATTAAGCAAAATGGTGCTTTTGGGCACATACCCAGCATAGGAATTTGTTTTCAGTACAAGAACAAACCTCACAGTGAAACAAAAATCTGCTTCTCTCCCCGCTGCTGACTTTCTTGATCTCAGCAGTTTCATTTAGAGCAGGGTGTGGGGTGGGGGAGCCTTTTTGTTGCTGCTACCGTGAAACCATCGGTAGACTGAAACCTTGCCGATCTGCTATAAATCACTCTACATCGGTACATCCCCATCTACCTTCTCGCCACCCGAGCCTAAGTAACCATCAGAAATTGCTGAAAAATGACAGCATGTGTGACACTAGTTGATGTGGAGACAAATGAACCCTCGATAATGCAGTTGATGCTGTCTGACCCAGTGATTGTGCTGCAGAGTAAATGAAAGGACAGGGCAGGCACTGATGTGTGTTGCAGGCTTCTGCTCCCTGACGTAGCTCTCTGTTGCTTTTCAGCAGCTGTAGATCTACTAGCAGCTTCAAGTTAAGGGGCTGTATGTAAGCAGGAACAGGAGTTTCGCTGCGCATATGCAGCACACCAGACTGCACTGGCAAAGCATCAGGGGCCACCAGAAATCGTCAGGTTCTATTAATTTATTTATTAAAGAAGGGTTGGTTTTTTTAAAAAAAATCAAGACCACCTTTCGTCTATGAAGACAGCAGGGTTCTAAATCAGAAGGTAACAACAAACAAAAAACAATACAATACACTTATAAATAAAACAACTTTCTAGATACAGTAACTGCAAAACAGGAGTGCCATCCATATCAACCAGACACGGCATCATGGTAGTCAGGGAGCCCTCAGGTCTGGGGGTCCTCACCTGCAAAGGGGAGTAATTACTGTCCAACTAAACAGAGAAGTAGTCAGACCATGATAATGTGGCTACAGAAAGCCCTCCCGACAATGAATTTCCAACTCATTAGCCCCCTGCTATGTTGAAAAAAACTAGATCAATAGTGTTGAGTTGTAATAAACATTACTGCCTTGATATACAGTCATACCTCGGGATAAACATGCTTCAGGATAAGTATTTTTGGGTTGCGCTCCGCGGTGACCCGGAAGTAACGGAGCACGTTACTTCCAGGTTTCGCTGCTCGTGCATGCACAGGCGGTCAAAATGATGTCATGCGCATGCACGTAAACGGCGAAACACGACCCGCGCACGCGCAGACGCGCAGTCGCATCTTACGTTCTATTCAGGATGTGAACAGGGCTCCAGAACGGATCCCGTTCACATCCCAAGGTACCACTGTATTTAAGAAATCTAAAATCTGCTGCCACCCTGCCTTCTAAGAAGGCAGACTTAAAGCAGTAAATGATATGCAGGCATCTACTATAAATCATCATTGTGGAAAAATTACTGCATGACGAAGTTAGTGCATAGTGCATTCCTGCACATGGAATGAATGGAACCAATTGTATGTGGCATGCTTGCAGCCAAAGCTGATCTCAGAGCTGCAGTTATTATACTGTGCACAGTCACAATGATGCCCACCAAGTCTCCACTAGTATTCACAGCCTGATGTGGAAGATAATCAGACGACATGAAGAAAAGCAATAGAGATGCAGGCAGAGGATAAAAATGGAACAAAAAGGGGGGGGGGGAATTTACAGTACATAACCAACTAGCAAATAACACACCGCTTCAGTACAGACTGCAGCCATTTATCACTTCCAATGCTTGATTGCTGCTATTGCAGCAGGCAGGATAAAGTCAAACATTTCTTTCCTACTTTCTGAAAAGGAGCCAAGAAAGCAACTTGATTTACCGTGTAGAGCTCATTCAGGACCTTCATCAAGTCTTCCTGGAGCTGCTGCCCCACTTCTTTGCTCTGCAATACAAAAGAACCAGAAAAGGTTAACTGGAAGAAAAGAGAGGAAAACAGGGGCAAGGTGGTGGCGGCTGCTGCAAACACGCCATGATGTTCACAATAATTCAGACACAATTGATTGTCATTATTCACACTGGCAAATCCAATAAACACCCAGCTTAGCTCCAATTACATTCATATTAAACAACCTATTTTAATAAAATGCAATAGGCTGCACACAAAGCCAGCCAAATGCTGGTAGTGTGTGGTCGAAGCAAGCATTCATCTCTGCAAAGGAAACTCTGGCTGCTGTCAGAGGTAGCACATGGCTATGCTAGCATCCAATGCTTTCTTCTTCTCTTTTCTTTTTTTGAAAGCTGAATCCACATAAGCTGCCAACAAATTGGAATTGTGGGAACAGTACAGGCAGATAAGATGGAGAGCCTGGCCATTAGAAGGTTTCAGGCCTTATTTCAAAGGTGTGTTTCAATTCTGGGGGAGGAGGAAGAATAGTGTGCCAAGGTGGGAGGCTGGAAAGTACATTTCCCTTTGTTTTTATGTAAATCATTCTTTGACATTTGGAGCAAGGGGAAAGCTGTGTTAAATAATGGCTTTTCTGCAGCTTGAGAGCTGTTGTGCTCAGGTCCCGCTTGTGGCTTCTCATAAGGCACTATGATAACAGGATGCAAGACTTGTTGAGTCTTTGGTCTGATCCAGCAGGGCTTTTCTTATGTCCATATGCTTAGCGATAAGTTCCAATGAATATGACCACCAAACCCGAAAAAGGAAGTTTTGTTTTGTCACAACCTGTGCAAATGACATTTACTCTTATTTTAGAATCCACACTCAGTGCCAAGAGAGAAGACAAAAGAAACCACACCCAAGGCCCTTCACATCCACACACAGTCAAGTCTCAGCATGCGCCAAGGGCCCAGATGTGAGATTTTCCTCCACTGACAATACACTTATCTATTTTTAAACAGAAAAGAACCACAAGGCACTTGTATCTGTATTGACATACTATACTCCATAATAGGAGGCACTTGGGTAACTGAGCCACCAAGTTAAACCCCATACAATGTGACTCATGAATTTGCTCGCTTTAGTAGGATTTATTAGCACCAGAAACAAATAAAGGAAAGTCACAAACAAATGTGATGGACTGTCAAACTGGACTGTCAAACTGGGCTGCAGCTGGATCCATTTGCTCTTTATTTTAAAGTATGTATTTATTCATTTAAAATTGGCACATGGCAACCGTCAGGGTTTTTTGGGTCGGGGGGTGGTCTTAAACAGCAATACAGTGGTGCCTCGCAAGACGAAATTAATCCGTTCCGCTTCATCTTGCGGTTTTTTCGTCTTGCGAAGCACGGCTATTAGCGGCTTAGCGGTTTAGCGGCTATTAGCGGCTTAAAGAAAAAGGAAACAAACTCGCAAGAACTCGCAAGACGTTTCGTCTTGTGAAGCAAGCCCATAGGGAAATTCGTCTTGCGGAACGACTCAAAAAACGGAAAACCCTTTCGTCTAGCGAGTTTTTCGTCTTGCGAGGCATTCGTCTTGCGGGGCACCACTGTATACCCATATTGAAAGATATGTGCCACACTTGTCAAATAGTTTACAAGAGCTAAGCAAAGAAGCATAAACCTCTTCCACAAACAATACCAGTGAGCATCTCATCATTGCATCGGCCTTCACCGTCTTCAACCTATCCAGTCATTTGCTTTTTACTTCTCAGTTGCTGCAAAGACAGCAAACCCTTGTCTTCCAGAGCCTGCATTCCATTCCCCCCACTATCTTTCCCACAATAGGGTGGCAATCTGTAATCTTGTTAAGGAGGGTATTTGTATTGGTCCGCACTGTATGAATGGTTAAAGAAAAAAGAATTATGAATTCAACATACTAAGAACCTGTTGATTTGCAGCTGTTGAACCATGGATGCACCCTCTATCCATGTAAGATATATCATTAAGGTGAGTATAAATAATAGTCACCTCATTGGGGGTGGGGTGACTGGCTTCTGAACAGAAAACTATAATCACAGACTTGCTTACTACTTCTACTGCAGGCCAACGCATTGCCCTTCCTTTCCTTCCACAGCTGTTTAACATCCTAAAATAGTATTTTCACTTTCTAAACAGAAAAGTAGTAGTGTCAGGGATCAAGAGAAGTCTCTTTACATTTATTGCACAACAGAATTTAATAGTTGCACAATTATGCAATCGCATGGCTCAATACATCACAATGGGGAGAGAATAAAACCAATAAAATGACAATTATATCCAGGCAGATGTTTCCTTTCTTCCCAACAACCGTTCTAAGAAGGGATGTATCAAACAGCATCCTTGTTTATTTGAACAGGCTGTTGAAATGATTGTGACTTACTGCTTCAGCCATGGCTCCCTATGGAGACTGGTATTGTACTTCATAAGCCAAGTGAAACTCTACACTGTTTAAAATGAAAGGGGCCTTTGGAAACCCAAAGCATTGCTGACACAGAGGCCCAGTTAACAATCGTAGTCTTGTAACGCTCACCCAAGATTACTATGGTGCGTAAAGGAAGCTGGAACAGTGGCTCTCTGATCTAGAGTGCCCTACATTACACCCTTTAAAAAAATGTAATTAGCTGCCTGAAAGCATGACAGAGAAGGAAACTGGGCATGTCAGGGGGAAATTCCCCGACTAAAAACCTGACCAGGAGGACAAAGAGACAATTATTTATCATGTGAAACCTGGTATGACTCTCACCCCTGTTCCCACTCCCCCAAAAGCTGTTTCTTCCCTACAATCCTATACTGTACAATGGAGAAGAAATTTGGGGGAGGGGAAGCGAAACAAAACTCCATCACAAGCAAATGTAGTCCATTTTATTTTAAAGAAGAATGTTCTCAACAGCTTACCAGGAAACTGTCTAGCTAGGGAAATGATCCTGGGCCTGTAGCAGATGCTTTGATGAAATTGTTAATTCAGTATGTGACAGCTATGAAAAAGGTGAATTCCATGCCAGGGATTATTATATAAAACCAACAAGAATCATGACTTCATAAAAACTGACAGTGAGGCCACATGTGTAATATTGCATAGTGTTTTGGTGGTCCCAACTAAGAAACCATAATGTAAAAGCAGAAGTCGGCAGCCATGATGTGAGCAGCAAAGTGGCCAAGTTTGCTGATGATACTAAGTTGCTCAGGGTCATTAAAACAAAAAGGATTGCAAAATGCTCCAAAAGGATCTCTCCAAACTGTGTGAATGGGCCATAAAATCACAAATACAATTCAACATGTGTTTTTTTGCATGTTGGGGCAAAAATAAATAAATCTTAACTTCACATGCTCATGGGGTCATAGTGAAGAGGAAGATGTTGGCCCAGTGTGCAGCAGCTGTGAAAGGGGCAAATTCTATGTTGCAGATCATTAGGAACAAAACTGTAAGCTTCTGAATGCCAGTTGCAGAAACCAAGTGCTCTTGCCCTTGAGTCCTGCTTGCAGGCTTCCCAAAGACATCTGGTTTGTAAGTATGAGAGCATGATGCTGAACCAGATAGGTCACTGGGCTGATCTAGCAGATTCTTCTCATATTCTTAACAAGGTGCTGGGAGTACCTTCCAGTTTAAAGACCTTTTTGATTAGAAAAAATACACTTAAGAGTAGAGGAAAGATGATAAATGTTTATAACAGTTACATGGTGTGGAGAAAATGGATAGTGACAAATTTCCCATGCTCTCATAATTCTGGAACTCCAAGTCATCTACAGTGGTACCTCGGGTTAAGAACTTAATTTGTTCTGGAGGTCTGTTCTTAACCTTGAAACTGTTCTTAACCTGAGGTACCACTTTAGCTAATGGGGCCTCCCGCTGCCAAACAATAGGCAGAGGTCAAGCAGACAAATTTCACACAGAAGCATATCATTGCTTACTTCAACTCGCCTGTGGAAACAACTCAGAGGCCATGAACGAAGGAAAGGCAACAACAGGAAGAATTAAAGGAACTATTGGAAACCTAAGGCAGTAGAGATATAAGATGATCAGAGCCCCACCAAACTTGAAGCATGGGAAGGCCCAATAAAAATTTATAATTTGGCGGAATATTTGGACTATATGATATGTATTTTTATAATTTGGAATATTTAATGTGATTTGATTGAATTGTTAAAATGGAAATTTTAATAAAAATTATTTTAAAATAAAAAATGGGGCCTCCCGCTGCCACCACACCGTGCTGCGTGATTTCTGTTCTCATCCTGAAGCAAAGTTCTTAACCCGAGGTACTATTTCTGGGTTAGCGGAATTTGTAACCTGAAGCGTCTGTAACCCGAGGTACCACTGTAATGACATTGATTAGCAGCAGATCCAGGAAGCAGTTCTTCATAGAATGCAATTAATTTATGGAATTCACTGCTATCAGATGTGGTGATGGTCACTAGCTTAGGTGGGTTAAAAAACCGGTTTTGATAATTCATGGAGGACAGCCATCATTAACACCTATGAGCAGCCATCAAAATCTGCTTCCCAAAGGTATTTGTTTAGCCGCCATGAAATAGGATGCTAGAGCAAAACAGCCTCACCAACCTCTGTGCCCATGTGAATGAATCCAGTCTTAAAGCAAACAATATATTTTTCATTTAGAGGTAAATGGCCACTGGACGTTTTAGTCCAAAACATGTGAAGGGCATTAAATTGACATAGGTTGACATAGATGGGCATTTAGTCTGAGCTAACAAGACTCCTCTTAGTCCTCTAAGTGGGAAATATACTGCTTGCAATGAAAAGGATTCCCCTCTCTATCACTGACACACACACACACACACACTTTTAGCCTTTAAGAGGCAGTTTCAGACATTTGTGTCTGTTACCCTTGTTAAACAAATACTTTGAAGGCACTGTTCCAAATTTTAACACTGTCTGTTTATTGGTTTTTATTTTTCAGTGCAATAGATTCTGACATGATCTTAATAATTAAGATAATTAATTTTATGGTTTTGTTATTGTTAAGAATCTTGAGCATGACTTATGGAAAGCCAGGATAT